AAAGATGGCAATTAAAAGAAAAAGTTTATCAGACTGAAGAAAACATGAATATACATAACTTTATAAAATAATGTATATTATGTTTTGTATCTTTAAACATAAGGATAAAACAATTAAAGTAAAAGAACAGAAAAGGTATATCATATAACATGACTAAAAGAAATCTGATATGCCTATACTAATTTCAGAAAAAGGAGATTTTAAAGCAAGAAGTTTTACAAGAGAAAGCACTGACTATTTCACTATTTCAATCCACCAAGAATACATGACAATTCTAAATTTATAGGTATTTAATAATAAAGCCTCTTATATATGTCAAATATTAACAGAAGTATGAGAATAAATAGAGAAATTCACAATTATAGTGGGAGATTTTAACATATCCCTCTTCATAATAGATAAAATAAGCAGACAAACACAAAGTATATAGAAGATTTTAACAACTTAATTGATAAACTGGTAATAATTGAATATGCTAAACACAGAAAACAACAGCAAAATATACTTAAGTACTTAAAGAATATTTACCAAAACTGGCGATTTGCAGAGCCAAAAGCAAGTCTCAACAAATTTAAAAAGATTAAAATTAGAAAGCATGCTCTTTGACTGCAATGGAATTATAATCAATAATAAGATTGCAGAAAATTCTCCTTTATTTATACATATATATGCATAAATAAATAAAACATTATGGCTCAAAAAATTATAATGAAAGTTAGAAATATTTTAAAATCAACAATTACAAAACACATATACAAACTTAAAGAGTATAGCTAAAGCCATGGTTAAAAGAAAATCTATACCATTAACTACATATATTAAAAAGAAGGCCAGGCACAGTGGCTCATGCCAGTAATCCCAGCAATCTGGGTGGCGCCAAGGCAAGCAGATCACTTGAGCCCAGGAGTTCAAGACCAGCCTGCGCAACATGGCAAAATCCCATCTCTACAAAAAATGCTGACCGTGGTGGCGCACACGTGTGGTCCCAGCTATTCAGGAGGATGATCATGCCACTGCACTCCAGCTTAGGTGACAGAGTAAGAATCTGTCAAAAAAATAAAAGAAGAAAGAAAAAGAAAGAAGAAAGAAGGAAGGAAGAAAAGAAAGGAGGAGGGAGGGAGGGAGGAAAGAAAAAAGATGATCTAAGCATCCATTACATTAGGAAAATAACCCAGCACATTAAACTAAAGAAAGCAGAAAGATGGAAATAACAGGAGGAAGGAAAAACTTATAAATCTAAAACAAACATAAAATACTGAGCAAAAAAGAAGTCAAACGTCTGTTAATTGAAAGAACTAGTAAAATCCATGAAGGGCTAGCAAGACTGACAGAGAGACAGAGACAGAAAGAGAGGGCACAAACGACAAATATCAGGGACGTACAAAATGACATCATTATGTCAAATAAAAGCACAGGTAACAAAAACAAAACAAGTGAGATTACATAAAACTAAAAAGCTTCTGCACATTAAAGAAAACAATCAAGAAATTGAAAGGGCAAGCTACACAACAGTAGAAAATACTTGCAAATCACATAACTGATAGTGTTCATATCCAAAATACATACGAAACTCCTAAAACCCAATCGAAAAAAAAAAAAAAGAAAGAAAGAAAAAACATCCATATAGATTTTAAAGACAAGCAAAGGAACTGATAAACATTTCTCCAAAGAAGACATACAAATGGCCAACTATATGCAAAGGGGCTCACCATCACTAATCCTCAGGAAAATGCAAATTGAAAGCACAGTGAGATGTCACCTCACACCTTAAGATGGTTCTCATAAAATGAAAGGTAAGTGTTGGTTGAGGATGTAGAAACAAGAGACCCCTTGTGCACGAGAAATTTACATTCCTTAGTGGATTGTAAATTGGTGTAGCCGTTATGAAAAACAGTATGGAGATTCCTCAAAAAACTTAAAAATAGATTTAAAAATTGCTGCATTATGATCCGGCAATCCTACTTCTGGATACACATCCATAGGAACTCAAATCAGGATCTCAACAATATGTCTGTCTTCTCATGTTCACTGCAGCATTATTCATACTAGCCAAGACATGGAAGAATTCTAAATTTCTACTGCTGAATGAATAAAGGAAATGTGGTGTGTGTGTGTGTGTGTGTGTGTGTGTGTATACATATATACACACACACATATATACATATATACATTGTGTGTGTGCGTGTATGTATATATAGACATATGTATACATATATGTGTATATGTATATATATATACACACATATATATATATGTACACACACACACACTCACACACACAATGGAATATTATTCAGCCTTAGGAATGAAAGAAACTGCTATTTGCAAAAACATGGATGAACCTGGAGGACATTATGCTAAGTGAAATAAGCCAGACACAGGACAAATAGTATATGATACCATTTATATGAGGAATCTAAGATGCTCAAACTCACAGAAGCAAAAAATAGAATGGTGGTTGTGAAGGGCTTGGGGGAGAGAGAAACAAGGAGGTAGTAGCCAAAGGGTATAAAGTTTCAGGTATCCCACATGGAAAAGCCCTAGAAATCTGCCATACAGCACTGTGCCCACATTGTATCATGCACTTATAAATCATGATAGTGATTTCACAGGTATATACTCATCTCCTAACTTATCAAGTTCTATACATCAAATATGTATGGCTTTTTGTATGTCAATCAGGCCTCAAAGTTGTTTTTAAAAATGAAAAATAAAGAAAAGGACTAGAGTTCTATGAACCCTAAGAAGATCTTAAGATATGGTGAACAACTTTATACCAGTGAATTTACAATACAGGTAAAAAAGACAAATTCCTAGAAAACCACTACAAAAAAAAAGTTGCCGTAAGTAAAAAATGAAAAGCTGAAAAGTTCTCTATTGGTAAAAAAACAAATGAATCTATAGTTTAAATTCATCTCAAAAAAGGAAAAAAGAGAAGAGGGGAGGGGAAGGAAAGAGGAAAAAGAAGACGCAGTCTAATCCAGAGCTTGAACACCAATCCACTGCTCTAAACTGAAAAATACCGTATGTTGTAAGCTATGGTAGAAGACCCTATAGAGTACAGTACTGCAACAAACTAGCCAATCCTACTAAAGAAGGCAGCAATGCAATTCAGCCAAATCCATGTCAAATGGCCATAAATTATTGTTTGCAAGATAATGTTAATATTTATGGAAAATCATTTTATCCTTATCTTACTGACATCACCATATCAAAGAGCCTAGTAAAGTTCATTCATTTATATCACCTCCATAAGCCTAATCTTCATGGAGAACAGTCTATTTACATAAACTACTTCTCAAGGAAAGTCAGCACAGCACAGAGGAAAACTCGAGTTGGACACATTTGTGTTGATGCCAGTTCTAAGCACATACAAGCAGTGAGATCTAAGGTCACGCCTTGAACCCATGTGAAACCCAGTTATCATTTCTGTAAGATGGGGATAAGTAGTCAACATATACTAAGAGACTAACGTAACCACAGTAGGTGGAAAACAAATGTTACTTGACTGCTTCTTGCAAAATCTTTGGTGTTCTATGCCTCTTCTCCAACTTGTATGACCTACCAAATCCAGTACAGTCACTATGACTAAAAAATTAAAACTTGCTCCTAGATGTGCTACCAATGGCAACCCAAGGACTGAATGGCTTTAATATCAACCAGAATTCAAAGAAATCAGCCACAGGCTCCACCATCTTATTTGCCTAAATATGGGCTCCGGAGCACAATTTAACCTCATTGTTGAGACAATCTGAAATTATTCTTTGAGATTTTGCCAAATTCCATATTCCAAAATACTTACTACCTAAAGATGACTTCTAATACTTAAATCAGATGCTAAATAATGCACAAGGGATTTCAAATCTGAAGGATTTAACACGTAAATCTGTTTGCCTCCTCTTGGGTGCATGTGTAGTAAAAGGTGTTTGAAGCTGTATCTCCAAGCTTTAAAGCAAGAGGACAATAATCTCAAATTTACTCATTTTACCTGTGATGCCAATGTCACCCCTTATCACTGGTGAGCAAAAGGCACCTAAATCATTTAGGGAAAGAGAGAGAAGTAAAATGCCAGGTTTCATAGTCCAGCTGGCTGGGGACAGGCATGGGATGAAGTCTTGCTGACTGATTGGCTCCATCAATCAGGCTAATGAGATGCTGACAGCCATATGCAAACCACGCAGAGTGACCAAGTACAACTGCACTTGTGAGACTGGGACTTCACACACCCAGATCTTGGAGGAAATGGGGGACTCTGGGTCCCTTTGAAATTTCCAGGTCAAAACAATGATCAGAAATATCTTTCTTCACATTTTCATCACAGGGCATCAGAAGAAAAAAAAATGATATAACAGAGTAGAAATGATAGTAAACACATTCTTAGTCATTCATTAGCAGCTACATTTTTAACAGATTGAGAAAGCATAGCTGTAACACAACGCCAGGCAGGATCCAGAGCTTGACTGATTGATTGACTGACTGAGAGTGTCACTCTGTCACCCAGGCTAGAGTGCAGTGGTGCAATCTGCAATCTCCGCTCACTGCAACCTTCGCTGCCAAGAGTCAAGCAATTTTCATGTCTCAGTCTCCCCAGCAGGTGGGATTACAGGCATGTGCCACCACTCCAGGCTAATTTTTGTATTTTTAGTAGAAATGGGGTTTCACCATGTTGGCCAGGCTGGTCTCGAACTCCTGACCTCAAGTGATCCACCTCTCAAAGCACTGGGATTACAGCCATGAGCCACTGTGCCCCTGTCCAGAGCTTTATTTATTCAGTTTCTCAAGTTAGCAGTGAGCTGCTTGAGGCTTGCACCTTCCTGTTGCTATATTTCGCCAGACTAGCATCCAGCAGGATTCAATAAATATCTGCTAAAGGTAAAAAGGTTCTTGTAGACTGCTAATAGGCTGTGGTTCTGGACTATTTTAAAACAATCCAAGCTGTTTTAAACTGCAACACAGATGGCCCTCTTCTTCCTTTTTAATAATGAATAATTTTTTTTTTCTTGAGATGGAGTTTCACCCTTGTTGCCCAGGCTGGGGTGCAATGGTGCGATCTTGGTTCACTGCAACCTCCGCCTCCCAGGTTCAAGCGATTCTCCTGCCTCAGCCTCCTGTGTAGCTGGGATTACAAGCTTGTACCATGACGCTCAGCTAATGTTTTATATTTTTAGTAGAGATCGGGTTTCTCCATGTTGGTCAGGCTGGTCTTGAACTCCCGACCTCAGGTGATCCACCTGCCTCGGCCTCCCAAAGTGCTGGGATTATAGGCATGAGCCACCGCACCCAGCCATAATGAATAAATACTAAAATCCTGCAAAAATACCGCTCACCATAGTTCTTAATGACACTACCAGGAAATACGTTGAGGGGGAAGCATGCCGTTTTTCTATAGAATTTTATTTTCCCAAGCAAACTTGCTAAGTCATCCTATCTCACTTGACAAAACAACCCAGAGCAAAGGACTTTTTATTACCACAAAGGGCACATGTGACAAGTCAGCAGCAACAGGCTACAGGCTCAAGTTTCCGCCCTCGCTCCTTTAGAGAATTCCTGACTGTAGTTATGGGTAAGCCATCTGTCTCTGTGTCTTGTGAAATTACACTCTGGTTCTTACATCTTCCTTTATCTAAGCAATGCATTACCCTTTGCCAGTCTACTTTTAAAAGCTGTAATAGACAACTCCATTTTCCTACCCTTTACAATTGCCTTTGGAGCAGAAACAAAGCATGGCTATTTCAAAAGATGACGGTTTAACAAGAGGGACAATAACATTTTTATAGTAAACCATATCTCTAGAGTGTGGAGTTTTATATAAAAAAAAGTTTAATAAAGCTACCTACTATTAAACGTCGTGGATAAAGCCCATGAGAATAGTATCCCTCACTCTCGTAATACTGCAGCTGATGGCCAGCTTAATTAGCTAAATGTAGTAGTGCTAAGCCAATTCTGCGCAGTGCCAAAGTTTGTGCAAAATAATGAAGGCAATGGTTTACTAAATTTAATAACCTGATTCCTCTTATAAAAAATTAACTTCATGACAATGTTTAAATTGAACTAGCTTAACTGCATAGAGATGGCAAGGGTGTGTTCCGAAGAATATTTAAACCTAATAATGCCAAGAAAACAAAGATGTTTTAAAGCAATGAGTTGCATCAATTTTTCTAGCACTTGTTACAGCAGATCCAATCAGAAAAATGAAGTGGCCACGGAGGCTTCATATCTCACTGTCTTGGGTTTTAAGCTTTCAAAACAAACACTCAAGTTCCATAAAATGGAAAAGGTGCAAAGTAATTTAAATACCTGCTCATCTTATACTATCTTACATCATTTTCATGTTAGAACAGAGGTTACAAACTGATGATCAGAGGACAAGTGAAGCCCAATGACCTGCTTTGTGTGGCCCATCCTTTCTTCTCCTTCCTTCTTTCCCTTTCCTTTTCTTCCTTTTCTTTCTTCCTTTCTCCCTCCCTTCCTCCTTCCCTTTCTTTCTTCCCTTGTTCTTTCTTTCTCTCTCTCCCTCCCAACCTCTCGTCCCTTCTTCCTTTCTAATTTGAATTAGTTCCCAGTGTTAAAACATTGGGGAGATCACAGGTCCAAAGCTAGATGTGCAGCTTCTCTGAAAAAGCTTACAGTGGAAGCACACTGAATCCCCAATCCCACTTGGTGACAGGTTAGCTGAGAATCCACTGTCAGCTAGAGGTGGGGTTTGGGTTTTCTAGTTGGTCATGTTGGCCACGGTCATCACCCGTGCTGCTGGCATTCCCCACCGGGCAACTGCAGGCACTTGAGGCTCAGTGCATGTTATCCAGAAAAAATCACTGCTAGAGATGTGACTCAAGCCTTACCACAAAACACCCTCAGTCCAAATGCTCACATCTGAATCCCTGAATCTCAGAGAACGTTTCCCACTGACCTGGTTGAGATTTTTATTTAAACCATATCAAATCCTACTATGACAAGCGTGGGAATATTAGGATGCTAGCTATGCCTTGGAAAGCCCTGCAGGAGCACTTGGCTTTGCATGGACAGAGAAGCACAAGGGTAATGGCTCAGGACTCTGCAGGAGGGTGGACCCAAAGTGCAAGCGTCTTTGCATGTCACAAGGGTCACTGAGTGGCAGCAGAAACTCTGGGCCAAGAACTCCACTGGAATGAGAGATAAAGATGAAATAGACAAGCAAAAAGGCAGGGTGCTTGGCAAAAAACGATTAAGGATTGGTGAGCAGCTCCATGTGAATAAATCGCAGGAATGCAATGCAGATGAAACTCCATGCAGCAAGCAGAAACTGTGGGACGCCTCTGCAGGTGGTGGGAGCCTGTGGATTTAGGCAGGGAGTAAACACCAGGAGTTATTCATATTATTATTTTATCCATTTACGGTACCTCCAGTGGTCAAAATGGACTCGCTCAAGATACTGTGGCCTTGTGACCAGCCAGGAATGGATGAGGTGCCCTCTTATCCTGAGCAGCTCAAGGTGTAAATTAGAAAATCAAGTAGGAAGAAAAAAAAAAAAAAATCTACAAAGCCAGTGACTGCGTAAGTCTAGGTATCCAAGGTGACCCCTGAGCCACTGGTGAGCTTGATGAGCTGTTTACCCAGACGGGGAACACAAAGGGAGAACTGCCGTGGGTGTGGTGGTGGAGAGGGTCAGAGCAGGTGGTCACATCCCATGAGACTCACTCGTCGGTTGGACAGGTGGGGACAGAGTTGCCCACCGAATCCTCAGGCACAAAAAACATCGTGGTGGGAACCCTGTCCCTTCAAATACTGACAAACCTCCAGGGAAGTAGGAGCTCCAAACAAGGCAGTTTCTTTCCCCGATACCAGGAAGGTTCCTTCTGGTCGAAGTTTTTTAATTTTCTCCATATTGTGGATGTACTTGGGCAGTGTCCCCATTTACTGTAAATTATGGTTTTAATTATCATTTTTATTAAGATGCCCAGAGGAGTTGGTGCTTACAATACCCGTAATTTCTAATGGGTTGTTATTATTAATTTATAATTGTGAAACACTGGAGACAAATGTTACTGGTAACTGGGCACAATTAAAAGGCCACAGAGATGGTGATTTCCACCCCCCACCCCCCGCCCCACAAACATAGCACGAAAATGATCTTTAGGAACCAATCAACAAGTTGCCGAATCCTCCAGCACACATCCTCTCCCTCCCTAAAGATCTGCCGTTTTGTACGGAGCAAGAAGATAGACCTAATACCTTTCAGCTTGAGTTAGATTTGGGGACAATTCAAATTTGGGGACTGTTTTTGAATTAACACACTACTAGCTTTAAGGAGGACAGTTTCTCCTATATCCTCTTAAAAGTAGGGAGACCATACTTTCCAAACTAATCTGATTAATGTAAATGAAATTACAGTGACGTGACATTGACGATGATATTGAAATCCAACTCCCCCAGGGGCATTTTCAGATGAAGTTCTGGGACATACATTCACCATGCCTATGCGGTCAATGCCATATCTGCAGTGACTAGATAATCCACACTGCTGTTTCTGTAGTTTAATTACCTCAAGGAGCACATTTACCTCCCACGCCATTTCAATTACATAGTTCTGAGTTCCAAAGAGTTACAGATCATGCTTACTAGACACAATCCACAGCTGCCAACTCTTAAGAAATTACAAAACGACACAGGTCTCTCCAGAGGAAAATAAGTCATAGCCAGCCCTGCTTTTTAAATGTATGTGTTATTATACAGAGAGCAACAAATACCCTACAGAGCTTCCTAAATAGCCCTAATAACATAAATACATCCCAAATATATTTATCAAAAAAAGAACGTCAATTCAAGAAGTGGGAAACGGGTCAGTTCACGTGAAATATCTTTAAAATACACCAGGCTGCATCTGCATGCTTTGGGCAGTACAAGGCCGGGGCTGTAGTGTTTTGTAAAGCTGTACAATAAATCCCAAGTGACCCCATGAGATCTCTCGAGAGGCAAGACTGACCCCAGGCTGGCTGCTAGTGCTGCCACTGTGCTGTGTGAGTAAGTTCTCATTTAACCTGCCAGTGATAGTCCTGGTTAGGAATCAGTAAGAAAAGTGCCAGAGATTACAATTACCATGGTTCTAGACAGGTAAACGCAGAATGATTCTGTAAGGCTAACTACATCGAGCGGCATCCTGCCGGTAAAGACATGGGGAAACCAGGCAACTTCACAGATAAATGGGGGAGGGGGGACAGGAAATGGTTTAATATAACTGGAGGTGATTGAGACATAGCTATCGAACTGGAAATGGACATGCCCTTTGACCCAGCCACAACCAGAAATTTATCCTACAAATAGACTTGCCGACATAAGCAAATATGTGGGAGGAATCTTCAATACATCATTATCTACAACAGACTGCAATCAACCTAAATGTTTTATCAATTAGGTTAAATAAATTATATTGCATGAACAGGACAAAATACAAAGTACCGAGCAGTGTGCACGTAAGACACAAAGTGGTTAAACAGGTGCCAACACTGATTACTGCAGGAGAGGGTTATTGGTCGGAGGCAAGGAAAACTTCTTGTGTATTTCATAAGGCCGACGTTATGTCGATTTTTCATACATGCACACGTGCTTGCTATGAGAAGAAACTGAAAATAACAAACCAAATGATACTGAATTGGTCATTCTTGGGCCTTTATGAATTTTAATACAGAGGAATCAAGGCAAGTGAGAAGAAAAGGGAGGAGCCTATTCCTATTCCAAACAAGGTACTTCCTGAGCATCCTGATTTGTAGAGAGGAATGTCTCTACATTCCTTGTAGAGCTGAAATGTCCAGGAGAGGAGGAGGACTTGAGAGTGTTACTCTTTGCTGGGTACCAGGCCAAGTGCTTTATGAAATACGTTAACTAATTCTAAGGTGTTCTCTACAGAAACCCTCTGAAGTGTCATTGTCATTTCATATAAGAAAAAAACCAATGATCTCAGAGTTTAAAGAACTCATAAGATAGGAGGGCAAACAGGAGGAGGCGCCAATGGGCACTGCGGTCTGAATTCAAGCAGGTGGACCCCACCATTGGTTCCAAACTACCACGATCACCATGTGACTGGGGATTTGTGATACTGTGATATAATAAGAAATACATATTGGGACTTCATCCAGGTTCCTGGCACAGAGCTCCTAAGATACTTGAAACTGGCCAGGCACAGGGTCTCATGCCTGTAATCTCAGCACTTTGGGAGGCGGAGGCAAGAGGATCACTTGAACCTAAGGGTTTGAGACCAGCCTGAGCAACACAGTAAGATCCCATCTCTAAAAAAAAAAAAAAAAAAAAAAAAATTAGTGGGGCATAGTGCCATGCACCTGCAGTCACAGTCACTCAGGAGGCTGAGGTTGGAGGATCACTTTGAGCCCAGAAGTTGGAGGCTACAGTGAGCCATGATTGCACCACTACACTCCAGCCTGGGTAACAGAGTGAGACCGTATCTAAAAAAAAACAAACAAAAACCTTTGAAATTCTCTAAGCAATATGGGTGAGGGGAGCATCTTCTATTATTCATGATTAGAGAGTTGGACCTTTCAGCCTCATTGATACCCTCCACATCCCCCACCTTGGGGGAAAGGGAGGGGCTGGAGATTGACTTAATCACCAATGGCCAATGATTTAAGCAAGCATGCCTAGGGTAACAAAACCTCCCTAAGAAGCCTAAATGGCCAGGCACAGTGGCTCACACTTGTAATCCCAGCACTTTGGGAGGTTGAGGCAGGAGGATCACTTGAGCTCAGGGGTTCAAGACCAGCCTGGGTGACATATTGAGACCTCATCTCTACTAAAGCGAAACAAAATGAAAAAACAGCCAAGCACAGTGGTATGCAACTGTAGTCCCAGCTACTCAGGAGGCTGAGGCAGGAGGATGGCTTTAGCATGGGAGGTCCTGGCTGCAGTGAGCCATGACTGCATGATTATACCATTGCACTCCAGCCTGGGCAACAGAGCAAGACCCTATCTCAAAACAACAATGAAAACCTAAACGACAGCATTTGGAGGGCTTCTAGATTGCCGAACATGTGGTGCCTGGAGAGGAGCATCCCCACAGAGGGTGTGGGAGCTCCACACCCCTTCCCTGTGCCTTGCCCTATGTACCACTTCATCTGTATTCTTCGTAATATCCTTTATCATAAACAGGTAGAGACAAATACCAAATACATATTTCCCTGAGTTTTATGAGCCATTATAGCAAATTATTAAACCTGAGGCGATGGTCATGGGAACCCCAATTGGTAGCCAGTGTGTCAGAAGTACAGGTGACCATCTTGAACATGCTACTGGCATCTGAAGTAGGGGACGATCCTGTAGGACTAAGCCCTCAGCCATGGGGTCTAACTCTGGTCGTCAGTGTCATCACTGAATTGTAGGACACCCAGCTGGGGTCCATAAAATTGGAGAATTACTTAAAATGAGGGAATGCCCCACAGGTTTGGCATGGGAAGGGCTCTGTATAAGAGTAGAGGAAGACAGTGTTTCCTTCCTTTAGGGTTCAGAGCACACACGAGGAGCGGGTCCTTGAGGCTGGAGAAACCAGCCTGGAACACCCCCATCATCCTCACGCCCCGAAGGGTCTTGACTGTCTGTCAAACATGATTCATGGGATTTTCTATCTATTATCTGTGGATTTTCTGAGATACATGCTTCTCATATGTGTTGTACATGCTTGGCCTGTGTGTAATTTAAAAGCTAAACCTACTGTGCAGTAGTCCTGAGAGATGGAGAAGAGGTCCAAACGCCACGTGTTTTATCAACAGCCTACCAGACCTTCCTTCCGTACGATCCCATCAAAGCACAGGTCTCTTCAGCCACTTGATTGCATAAACCTACCGCTTTATGGAATCCACCCCCAAACTGTGATGCATTCACGAATGTTCTTTTCTCTTACTTAATATTTAGATTGGGGCTCAGAATTAACACTGTCCTTTGCTTTTGCAAACAATTCTCTGCATAAGGGCTGTGAGATAGGATCACTAATCCACAGAAATAAAAGTTTATTTCTCTAATCTTCCAAGGTCAATAGCTTACAATTTCATTTAACCCCACTACTATTCTTCCAACCATAAGGAACGATCTTAACACCATGACCATTACAAGTTATACTCACTTTTTTTTTTCTTTAATTTCCAGAAGTCTTCACTGTCAAACTTTAAAGAATCAACTGTAATAAAGTCCAATACAAAGGCCAGCCAGGCACAGTGGCTCCAAGTATAATCCCAGCACTTTAGAAGGCCAAGGTGGGAGGATCACTGGAGCTCAGGAACTGAGGTTACACTGAGCTATGATCGTGTCACTGCCCTCCAGCCTGGGTGATGGGTCAGATTCCGCCTCCAAAAAAAATCAAACATTGTTGAGAAATGCTGAGTGTATGATAAAGTATACTGTTGGCTAAGAAGAATGGCAAGGAAAATCTAGCCGCCCACCTCCACAAATGGAAAATTGCTTGAGGCATTCCAAAGTGGCAAAACAGTCTATGTTTACCATACGCCGGTTAAAACAATTCTTTAAACACGGGATATGTGGCCTTGCCCCCGTGGCCGCCTTGTGGAGAATACTGAGTCTCTCTCTGACACCAGGCTGGAAATGCAGTGGAGCGACCTCGGCTCCCTGCACGCTCTGCCTCCAGGTTCAAGTGATTCTTCCACCTCAACCTCCCGAGCAGCTGGGACCACAAGCACGCACCACCACGCCCAGCTAATTTTTGTATTTTTAGTAGAGACAGGATTTCACCATGTTGGCCAGGCTGGTCTGGATGTCTTGACCTCATGATCTGCCCACCTCAGCTCCCCAGAGTGCTGGGATTACACATGTGAGCCACAGTCCCCCGGGCCAAGAATACTTTCTAGTATCAGTGGTAAGCAGGCACCAGCTGCCTACCTAGTTTAACTTGGGTCTATGAGAAAACACAGAAGACCTGTTTGTTAATAATAGTCACCTGTTCAGAGAGAATAACTACCTGGGTCAGGATCTGCTCAAGGCCTTCAGCCCGGAATTCTCTCAGCACCCTAAGGCTCTCAGCTCGGAAAGCTGTTGGCCCCGATAGTCCCACTTTGCTGTTGTATCTGGGTGTCTGCTTCTCAATGCATTCAGCGCAGCCTGGGTGGGGGTCTCCACAGCCGAGCCGGCCTTTGTAAAACATAAAGACCCTCCACCAATAAAATGATTTTTTTTTGTAATCAAAGTATACACAGCACTTTTATAAGCTTGTCTGAGAACCTTAGGCAGAAAAATAAAACAGGACAAAATAAAAGAAATAAAAAATAGAGGCCTCATGTTAAAAAAAAAATGTAATCTAGCTTTTTAGAGGCAGAGACCCCCGTGTCTTTTAAAGGCTCTCAACAAGATACAGCTCTTTCGTTCTCTTTCTTGTTAACACAGGAAAGTACAATTGCTCCATAATTCCACCCCCTACACGTGCTGTCTGGAGCAAGTTTCTGTTCTTCAGAGGGCAAACCCGTTAACAAATGACACACAGGTGTGTGCAGACACGTGCGCGTGCGCGCGCACACACACCCATGGTCTCACTTCCTATAGTTCTGTACTCACGCCCATACCTACTAAGAGAACCAAAGCGCTTCTGAGTGTTTAGAAGTGGAAAGATTTACCCTGAAGTTTGGCCTTTTTTATTTTGATGGATTAATTTATCGCCACTTCAAGAGGAGAAGAGAACCACTCTGAATTTGCAAGCACGCTATATCCCATTACTGAACGTCTCAATGTTTTCACAGCTGGTAGAGGATTTCCTTTCACCATTGAGGCCTCTGTTACTTTCTCCTCTACTTGAGACAGGGTTCTTTCGGATCTAGAGCAAGCAGACCAGCCACCAGGGCCCTGTACCCACACTCATCCAAAGGGACCCTGTTCTTTGACTTTCTTAATGACCAAACGTGCTGTGAGCCCTCTTGGAAACGTATTTTCCACTCCTGTCAATTAAGAAGTGGTTAGGAAACAATTGTTTAAAGAAAAATTAGGCTGGGCACGGTGGCTCCCGCCTATAATCCCAGCACTTTGGGAGGCCGAGGCAGGCGGACCATAAATCAGGAGATCGAGACTGTCCTGGCCAACATCGTGAAACCTGGTCTCTACTAAACTACAGAAAATTATCTGGGTGTGGTGACGCATGCCTATAGTCCCAGTTACTCAGGAGGCCGAGGCAGGAGAATTGCTTGGACCTGGGAGGCAGAGGTTGCGGTGTGCTGAGATCACGCCACTGTATGTAGCCTGGTGATAGAGCGAGACTCCCTCTCAAAAAGAAAAATTGAAAAAGAAAAAACCCTTCATTCCATTGCGAGCGCTCAGAAGTGAAAAAGCCTGCCCCATCCAGCATCCCCAATGCGGACAGTGTGCTACTTTTCTAATTCAAGGACCTTTAAAAAAAAATTCAGATCGACCTTGGCTCTCACCTTTTAAAAAGTGCAAAGTGCTATATTACTTTGCCTCTTTAAAAGATTAAATTCTTTATGCTCCCAAAGTCATGTGGAGGTGCTCAAAACACAACGTTGGGAAAATTCAGCAGTTTTTTGAGGCTCACTTTTAAAGTGTCTAAATTGACTTTTCATTCTCCAACACTTAAAACTTTTTAAGATGCAACTTCTCAAAAATAGGACTTAAATTCAGGCTTCCAAGCTAGATGAACGACCAGAGTTCTATTAACTGGGCGTGCTTTGTAGGTTCACCATGACCTTGCTTAAAATACCCTTATTTTACTCCAAACCGGACATTTATGGTGATTGGTTAGGAAGTGGTGATGATAAAATGAAAGGTTTGCTCAGAACCTACAATAAAGAGGCAAAGTGTAAAACACTTCAAAGCAAATCAAGTTTAATAGGAAAATACCTAATTAAAAGATAATCCTTCGCTTGTAGTTGCTCTTTTAAAAGTATCTCTGATTATATAACCAGATCACTGTCTTAGATATCTTTAATATAATTACTTGTTAAACTTTCATAAAATCTAACAGTGACTTGTGTGTGTTTGTTACTCTTACTGCTTTGGTCTTCAAAAAAAAAAATAATGCTGACACCATCTCAATTCAAAGTGATAACATTTAAAGCAAGCCCTAAGTTTCTGCCTCTCTGAGTTTTCTTGCAGTGGTCAAAAATCCACAACAGTCCCGCGTGGAAGGCAAGTTTTTTGAGGCTCACTTTTAAAGTGTCTAAATTGACTTTTCATTCTCCATCACTTAAAACTTTTTAAGATGCAACTTCTCAAAAATAGGACTTAAATTCAGGCTTCCAAGCTGAAGGCAATGCTAGCTTTAAAATGAGGAAATAAATTACACTCCTTCACCTCACTTCTTTCACATGCCAGGATGCATGGAACAAAACACAGAGATTCATGTCTAGTTTGATGCTTGCCTTTTTGGTTCTAACACATTCAGTGATTACAGCACCCAGGTTCCCACAGGGCATACAGTTGTTAAAGGAATTTCTCCATCACTTTCTACGCTGAGAAGCCATCTGAGCTTGAATAAATTCAGACTCACTCAGAGCAGAGAGAGGGGAAGGAGTTTTCCATTTGATAACATTTCGTCTGTGGATACCATGACGAGGGCCTGGTGAAATACACCAATTTTAAAATCTATACCTTTCAGGAAACATGTAATCTAACCATCAGCTGTGATCAGGCACCCGCTACACGGAGCGGCTTCCAGCTGAGGCCGATTTTGCATTACTTCTGGAGACTCCACAGCTGTAAATTTTTCTTTCATTCCCCTCACCCAGCTGCTACTTCTGGGCCAAAAAGAGGGTCTTGGTAGGATCCCTAACATATGTAATGTGAACAACTTGTGAGAAGGACCCATTTAAATTCAAAAAAGAGGCAGACAGAGAAAGAGCTGAGTTGGTAAAGGCTTTGGAACCCTAACAGAGGATTCCAACTTGCCTGGCTTGCCAGGCAGGGGGTCTTGTCAGCAGGGAGAGCGAGTGCTCCCCAAAAGATGCCAGCGGAGAGTCTCCTTCCTAGAGTAGATAGCTAAAGGAAGCATGAGCAACTAGAACTTTTATTTAGCTCAAACATGCAGGCTGCCCCTAAGCACACATCATTTTAAAGTCTCTATCAGGGCAAGGTGAACTTAATTCTCTTCAGTGCTTTCACACCGATATGGAAAAGGAGGTAAAATCAACATGAAACCAAAGAATTTCTTGGAAGAGAAACAGATCAGGAATCTTAGGATTCTTAGGAGCTGAATTGCTTCTCCACCATCCCAAACTCATCCATTGAAGCTCTAACCCTCAACATGACTACATTTGGAGATCGGGCCTTTATGGGTATAATTAAGGATAAATGAGGTCATAAGGGCAGAGTCCTAATCCAAGAGGACTGGTGTCCTTATGAAAAGGGGAAATCCGGACACAGCACAGTGGGGAGACCACGTGAACATGAAGAAGCCCATTTGATGGTTAATACTGTCAATCGATTGGATTGCCTGAGTGCGTCTGTGAGGGTGCTTCCAAAGGAGATTAACCATCGAGTCAGTGGATGGCAAGAGGCAGACGGACTCTCAGTCTGGGTGGGTACCATCTAATTAGCTGCCAGCGAGGCAAAAGAAAAGCAAGCAGGAGAAGATGGAAGAGAAGACCTGCTGAGGCTCCCTGCCTTCATCTTTCTCCCGTGCTGGATGCTTCCTGCCCTTGAACATCAGACTCCAAGTTCCGCAGCTTCTCAACTCTTGGACTTACACCAGTGGTTTGCCAGGGGTTCCCAGGGCCTTGGACCACAGCCTGAGGGCTGTACTGTCAGCTTCTCTACTTTTAAGGTTTGGGGACTCAAACTGGCTTCCTTGCCCCTCAGCTTGCAGACACCGTATCGTGGGACTTCACCTTGCGATCGTGTGAGTCAACACTCCTCCATAAACTACCCTTCATATGTATTAATACATCTATCCTATTCTGCCCCTGTAGAGAACTAATACACCCATCTACAAGCCAAGGAGAGGGGCCTGGAACAGGTATCTCCTCCCAATCCTCAGAAGAAGCCAACCCTGCCAACACCTTGACTGCAACCTTCTGGCCTACAGAACTGTGAGACAATAAACTTTTGTTTTTTGGCTGGGCGCGGTGGCTCACGCCTGTAATCCCAGCACTTTGGGAGGCCGAGGCGGGTGGATCACGAGGTCAAGAGATCGAGACCATCCTGGTCAACATGGTGAAACCTCGTCTCTACTAAAAATACAAAAAAATCAGCTGGGCATGGTGGCGCATGCCTGTAATCCCGGCTACTCAGGAGGCTGAGGCAGGAGAATTGCCTGAACCCAGGAGGCGGAGGTTGCGGTGAGCCGAGATCGCGCCATTGTACTCCAGCCTGGGCAACAAGAGCGAAACT